ACACAAAGCCAAAATAACAAGTCAAAGAACTGCACAAACTCAGTGTCCCTGTAGCACCAAAAATCGCTATTTATTGCCAAGGGGCACTCGTAAATATATTTTTACCGCTTATTCTTCTGTGCAATGACAAACCAGAATTTTAACTAAAATCCTGCAATATCCAAAGCAAACAGATAATTACGATAAACCTTTCACTATAATTCATAAATTGTTTTTCATGGATACTGTGAAGAATAAACAGACAATTCTAGAGAAAGTCTAGGTATACTGAAACAGTAAAATAAGAAATCAATATAACCCCCCAAAAAATTGAATGGTATTTTTAAGAAAACTTAAAATGTCAAAATAAGCAAGAGAAAGAGACCTTTGCCCTCGAAATTGGTAAGTCTTGACTAAAATCTATGGCAAAAAAAGATTTGTTGCTTTATCAAATTTTATGATAAGCAAAATAAATTTTTAACTTAATTTCAAAGTTAGAAACCATACAAATACACACTTGCACAAAAACTCTCATCTGATACATTTTGTAAAGTCCATTTAAATGATTTAATCAAAAGTTTTTTATTTTGTAAATCATGAGGTGTCAAATTATTCATTTTTACAAATACAATAGATTAATGGTAATCTTAATATTATTACATTCTATTTAACAAATAAATATGAAAATTTAAATCTACCTTCTATATGATCGATAGTTCTTTCATGCATGATTGTTTTCATCAACAAATTACGTTTGTTTAATACAGGGTTGCCACTCAAACAGGAGAATGAAATTCCCTGACTTTTCCAGATTTTCCTGGTGTGTTTCAAGAAAATTCCAGTCTATATGCGTAATGTACATTGGCTGTGCTAAGAGGTAAATTAATTATGGTATTACTAGTATTGTGTAGCAAATTCACTTAATTATTCAATAAATCCCAGAGGACATTTATTTTAATTATTCTGGTATACTTTGTTTGATAATTTTGTTTACTTTTCCACTTAAGAGACTTAATAAATTTAAGATATACACATTGGAAACAATTGTATGTTTATTTAATTATTACTCATGATCATCACCAGTTCAACACGAGGCAAATCCGGTCTTATAAATCACAAATGCAATGCTAAATAGTTAGGTTAGATTTTAGTAAATTTAATTGTGAGGTGTCTTCTTAAAAGACACCTTAAACACTTGAAAAACACAAATATAATTATAATAGGAGTTGTTTTCTCCACTGAAGATTGAGATTAGAATCTACTTAACCTGGAATAAAATAAGGCTTTTTTTGCAGACATTCTGTAGCTAAACGAAAGAAAGAAATCTATTTAATGATATTTTTTAATAAATTTAGGTATTTTATATTTATTTCGCAGCATACATAAGGAAAAAATATGTTCATTAAATTTCGTGATGGTATGTCATCATACTGCTAGAATTAATTTCAGGATTATGCCAGAGAAAATTTCCTGAAATTTGGAAATATTATTTACTAATAATAAATAAATTTAGAGAGAAGAAGCAACATTAAATGATACGAATAACATAAAAATAAAGATAATTACTTAAAAATTGAATTAGAATAATCAACGATATTTTAGCGAATATAGTTATATTACATCATTAGACTGATTACTTTTTTTTTAATTTTACTGCAAAATGACAAGGTATTTATTAAAAAGAAAAAAAAAAGAAGTTTTAAAAAGATTTCGCGGTAAAATTCCTAGTATACGGTAAGGCCTTGGCACGATTTTGAAAATTGTCGCCAAGACCAAAATGACCCATTTACTGCTCATCATCATGTCGCCAAATCCTGTTGTACCATACATGGAGATTAGTCTAACCAAAGAAGTAACTAGAATGCGGAGGAAAAATTTGCCAAGGGATTTGGCGACGGAACATGGAGGCTAGAATTTCCCTCTCCGCGATGTGTACAGGAAATTGAGAACACATGTTAAAACATGTTAAGGAAACACATGTTAAGAACACATGTTAAGAATACATGTTAAGAACACATGTTAAGAAACACATGTTAAGAATGTTGTTCTTTGACAAAAAAGAAAACGGCCCACCAGCGGCCGAGGGGTAAAGACGCTGAACACTGGTAGTTCGCTCCGAGGTTGTATGGCCGTTTTCATGGTTTCCCCCCATGTGTATACGAGTCAGTTTCTCTTAGAAAGTCCTCCACGAAGGCATCCCTCCCCTTAGGCAGATAGCCCTCGTGTGCTTTGCCATAAATGAATAATCCTAATCCAATCCAAAAAAGAAAACTACGAAAATCCGTTTTTAAATTATTGCGAAAAATCCAAGAAACGTTTCTTCTTGGATTTTTCGCAATAACTTTAAAAACGGATTTTCGTAGTTTTTTTTCCCCCCTCAAAATAACTAATTTATGAATTAATTTACTTGTGCCAAAAAATATTTTCTTTTCCTTTAGAGTTTAAAGAAATTTTAAACGATATTCATTGTATGAACGCTTGATAACGTGACCTTCGAACTTCACCAGTTTTAAGCTTTGCCGACAGACATATCGCGCATGCACAGCTGTTTCCCTCTATGATGGAACGGAGCCAAGTCTGTTGCAGAGAGGTTTTCTTTCTTTACAATACATAATTCTTTGATTCTAACCTCCATGGTACCGTATACTAGGATATAACCCATTTTGTTTTATACGAGAACAAGTACTTTCTTTAGTTCGTGCATTGCACATGCGATTCTCTCGATTCTCGAGGTTGCTGGAAACCAAAAGTTACGGGAAGCTTGCTTTGCCTTTCTAAAAGACAATCAAATTGGAGCTGCGAAAATTGGCTCTATGCCAGCTGCCCGAATGACGCTCACGTGATACACAATTCGCCAAAAAAGTTATCTCTTCCGATGTCGGCGCAAAACTCGCTTTTTTTGGTGGGATCCTTGCACAAAATTCCCTGACTCTTCCCTGAATTTTTTGGTCAATTTTCGAATTCCCTGACTTTTTCTGGTTTTCCAGGTAGCGTGGCGACAGTGTTAACACTTTAAGTTTTTTTTTTTTTTTTTTTTTTTTTCCTTGGGAAAAACTTAGTTTTAAATGAAAAATTTACTTCCTCTCTTCCAAAGACACTTTTAAAAATCTGTTACAAATATAAAACAAGTTTATTGAATTAAATATTATAATCGCCTTTCCCATTTGTAGAAAAAGGGTAGTGGGATTCTGATGATACAACTGATAGCCAGTCACAACATATATCAAGAGCACAAAAATAAAGTTCACCACAAACCAATAATATGAAAAACATACTTGTTTCTCAAATTCATCTACCATAGCTCGGTTAGGCAACCGTGCACGATATGCTGAGAAATCAATAGCAGGTGGTTTTTCAGGATAACTCATTAGCCTATTAAAAAAAAGTATTAGAGTATATCCATATATATATTTCATAATTACAAAACAATTCTTTTGAAAACAAAATATAAACATGTCTAGTATTTTCATGCATTAAGCTGCAGAAAAATTATCATTAATGACATAAAATGAGAAATTTAGAACTAATATATACACTTAGTCACAAAAGTAAGTATGCAGAGTGTACGTGATGATGTCCTATGAAAAAAACAGACCTACAATATTAGAGTTTTCAAATTAACGATTTATTTCGACTACAGCAAAATCAAGCTTAATAATAAAATGAAAAGTAATTAAAAAATACAAATATTTAATTAGCAAGATGAGCTTAACTTAAAATAGGATGTAATTTACATAATAAAAGTAAGTATGCAAACAAAAACAAAGACGTTAATATTGCAAATTTTATAATTTTTCAAATAAAATTAGTAATTTGTTGGATAGCCTTTGACCTTTATAACACCTCTCAATCTAGATGGCATTGATTTTACTAAATTTTGAGTGACAGAAGATGGTATTTTCTGCCACTCCTCCAAAAGGGCTTTTTTTAGATCATTCTTAGTTTTGATCTCTTGCTTTCTAATTTGGCAGATCGAGATAATCCCACAAGTGTTCAATGGGATTAAGATCAGGTGACTGCGGTGGGGTTTTTAGCTGTTTTCGCACGTGATATAGCAGCCATTCCCGAACAACCCGAGCAGTATGTTTGGGATCATTATCTTGTTGGAAAGTGAAGGATCCATCGAGTCCCAATTTAGAAGCACTTTGGCTTAGATTATTCTTTAAAATATTCAAATAGCTATATTGATTCATTATTCCGTCGATTATAACTAAATTTCCTACTCCAGTTGCTGCCATGCAACCCCAAACCATAATCGAACCACCACCGTGTTTTACAGTTCCTCTCATGTTCTTTGGTTCTAGAGCTGCATTTGCTTTCCTCCAAACTTTTTGGTGTCCATCTGACCCGTGGATGTTGAATTTACTTTCATCCGAAAAAAAAATCACGGAATTCCAAAAATTTGTGTCCTGCTTTACATTTTCTTTTGCAAAATCTATTCTCTTTTTGCGATTCACTTTGCTAACAAATGGTTTTCTTCCCATATTTCGACCATGGTATCCTGCCTTCCGTAACACACGACGAATTGTTTCAGGATTGCATGACTTCGAAAAATTGTTTGGTTGATCTTTACAATATGGTAACTGGTAGTTTGGCGACATTTTGGAGGCGATAAAGGTTACTACCTGGGACTTTGGTAATAATGTGGGCAGTACTCAGTTCTGATTATGCATTATTTTGCGTGAGGGAAATGAGAGATCATGGGATATGTCATGTGATATTAATGGACGAATTACGGTTTTTAATCGGAAAAGGGGGGAAATCGGGAAAAAATGTGGAAATTTGTATTTAGCTTTATTCTGTGTTGTGTGAAACAGTGTTGTGTAATTTTTGGATCTCATGGCCCTAAGTAAAGTGAATTCGAAATGGGTATTTTATTTAGGCATTGTGATAAAGAGAAGTTTGCTTTTTATTTAGCGGAGGAAGTATGGAGGAAAATCTTTCAATAATTTTATTGAATGAATTAGAAAAGTGTATCCGCACGTAATCAAGATTCTGAAGAAGATTAGGTAAGTTAGTATTTTAATTATTTGAGGATATTATTTTTATGCATTGTTCAAATGTAAGGTGGGAAGAATTGGTATTATTGGGAAAATTGCTATTAGCAATGATTTAGTTTAAAGTAATTAGGATTGTAAGGTAATTTTTATTAATTTAACGTATGTGCTCATTTATATTTTAAGTAGTGTTTTTGAATTTAATTATATTTTAATGAAATGATAGTTATTTTGTGAATTTTATGTTTGTAGGAATTTGGTATACATTTAAGTTGAAATAAACGTGCATGGAAATAATTTAAATATTTGATACTAAGTATTTGTTATACTTGCGGTATGAATTCGTTGGTGACGTGTATAATGTAATAGATGATTTAGAGGTAAAAGTTTTTTGATATTTTATTATTTTATATGTGGAAATGTTCATATTTGTAAAGGGTAATACTTTTTCGCGATCAGGTATTTCATATATGTTCTTTTTACCGGGTTTAAAGATTGAGAAATTGTCATGTATTTTCGTGAAATTTTTCTAATTTATGAGAAAAAAGCAGTGTACATGGATATAGTGAAGTTGTGCGCAATGCCATTTTTGTGCAATTATGGGATGTTTTTTTAAGTAAAAATAAGTCGGCGTGTACATGGTTTATGTTGTAGGTTATTTTGAAAAATGCGTAAGTAAGGTGTATGGTATTGTGCACTTTTTCCCCAATTTGCGTGAATATTTGTCATGATTAAGCAGTTTTGTTTGATAAAATTCTAGCATAAGTGTGTAATTCGGCTAGTAGATTGTTGGAAGAAGTGTTCAGTAGATAAGAAGAAAAGAAACATGTCTTTACTTCGTGAAGAGAAAATAGAGGCGGGGAAAAAAAAATAGAGGGTTGCTGTAGGAGAGTTGGTTGCCAAATTTTCGCCAAAAAATCGCCAAGTTACCATAATGTAAAGATCAACCAATTGTTTTTCAGATCAGTTGTCAATTTTGGTGCACTAATGATCAGATTTTTTTTTCACATTTCCAATAATAATTCGCCTTTCTCGATCCGTCAAAATGGGCGGTCGTCCTGTTCTTGGCTTGTTTAGAGTATTTCCCTCAGCCTGGAACTTTTCAATGAATTTTTGCACTGTTGCAGGACTTTTGCCTATGATTTTAGCGATTTGTTTTTGGGACTTGTTTTCCTTGTAAGACAGCTTTGTATTTGCTTTATTATTGCATCCTTTAGATCTTTTGATAATTCTTTTTCCACGTGGAGCCATTGGTGAATTGTTGATGTACTTAAAGCTCAAACTTACAAGCTTTGTAGCATAGAACTTCTAAACTTATCACTGAAATACGAAAAATCACTCGAGAAGTTTCATTCAGCCTACTTAAAAGTCAAAAATTCAGAGTGCATATATACTTTTGTGATTTAAATTTCTACTGGTAGTTAACAAAATTACTCTTAAAAAGTTTTTAAAATATAATGATTTGGTTTATTTTTCATTACTCTATGACTTGAATCACAAGCTATAAACAACACTCTCCAAAATAATATTTTTCTTATATTTATTTGAGAACTAGAGCTTTTTTCACTTAAGCTATGAGTTGCATACTTACTTTTGTGACTAAGTGTATATTGCTGCTCAACAATTATTCACTTACGCAATTTTTAGGAATAATAAATTTAAATTTTTGGAATAATATATTTTTTCATGGTTTTAGATAAGTGCAATTAATTTACATATGCTCTTAGAATTTCAATGATATTGTAAATTAGTTCACAGCAACTATTTTTATTTCTTTCATGAAATTTTCTTCATTAAATTTTTAATTCTAATTTTATATTTGCTTTCTACAAATAGAGAATTTTAGATTTGCTTTATACAAATAGAGAATATTTGTTATATATTTATATAAAGTGGTTAGAATAAGAACATACAAAATGAAAATTATTCATGAATAAACTACCAGTAACTATCACATAATTATTTATTTAAAAGAAACCTACATTCCAATGAGGTTCCATACTAATATTAACTTTCTATCCGGTTATCTGTACAGCTTTTATGCCACTGCCATCCTTACTGATATCATCATCAGTTTTACTATTCAGTGTATCCCCCCATGTGTTTCAGAACCACCATGAGCATTAGAATTCCCATTCCCTTTTTTTTACTATTATTGCTTCCTAAATCAAAGCCCATGCACCCAAAATCCCCACAGAAGTCAATTAATAAGATAAAGATGGTAAAAGTTTACAATTGGGTGGCCCTTGCCTTTCGAAGATTTTTTTTTTATGCTAGGATTAGCGGCAGGAATGCACAATTTTAAGATGCCCACTACACAGAACCAAAATAAGTAGTCGAAGAATTGCACAAATTCTGTGTTCATGTACACATCGAGCTATTTTCACTTAAAAAAAATATCAGAGAATTGCACAAACTAGGCAATGCATACTGCCTTAACTTTGTCCATGTACACATCAATCTATTTTCACTTAAAAAAAAGAAATCAGGAAGCTAAAACAAAGTTAAAACTGTCATGGTAACCAAAAACGAGGTTTTCAGCACCAAAATTTGTTGCTAATCAACCAAAAAAGGACATCATGTAACTGCAAAAGACTTGCTCTCAAGTGATGGGATTGGAGCATTGGAATTGAAATAATAAGAGCTGCAAGAAACTTTTATTTCTGACAAGTTGTCTTCGATTCGCTGATAAATCAACAGGACAGATGAATATTAAAACTAGCTTATGTTTTAAAATATAGTTATTAAAAATAAATTTTTTAAATTTCTATAATAAAATACATCATTGCTTTTCCACCAGACTAATACAAGCGTTTAAAAATAATTTACTATTATTTGAATGTGACATCATTTGTACTTTTCAATAATAAGGCTAATATTTTATGTTTTAACAAATTTATTATCAAATATTCACTCATTTCTGTCATTTTTCGTGCCAAAAACGGTAAAATAACAGATGTCATAAAAAATAAGACGCGCGTGGTCATGTAAAATTGCTAAGTGCGCGTGCTGGAAGGTTAATTAATCTTCGTGCCGATTGTACTACTCCATTTTTGTCTCATGGAAATACTGTCATCCAATATATAATGAATAAGGAACAAGTTTTTACTGGCTTTGCTCTGTACATGCAAATGTTTTGCCTTTTAAAATATGTAGACAGATTACATTCGTAAATTCACTTACACTCTTTGTACTAATAAACACATTTTTTAAAATTTATTTCATTAACAAACAGTATTTAGTGAGCAGTGGTTGCAAGAATACTTGTATTATTTATCGTCAGAGATTTAAATTTGATCGGAGTAACTATGACATCGTTCTTTTAAAAAAATTCCAAATATACTGAAAAATTAAACGTTTTACCTTTTAGTGTAGCCATCGACTTTCGCTTTAAAAAGGTGAAATTTAGCTTTTTCATGAGCAGGAACTCTTTCAGCGAAAGCAGCCCAATCTATAGACGATTTTACAAACCTTTTCGCTGCCATCTTGGAGGTCACAAATGGCAAATCAGTTTAGTTGTAGAATACCTTCATTACGCTAAAATTAGAAAAATACAGATAAAAGAATACATCATCCTGGAGCAGATGCATTTTAAAAAAAAAATATATAAATAATGCTGAAGCTAAACTGAATAAAACAACTGATGCATCATTTATCGATGCAGAAGTCCAAATTGTATTGAAATTTTAAGAACAATTTCTTGGAGCAGATATATAGTTCATTTCAGTGCATTCATGGGCCCTAAACTGGACACTGTCGAGACGGCCGAGTTGGCCTTGGATCTACTTGTTAGAAACATCTCTTGGATTTCGTATCATCGTCTCGATCAATACAGGGATCGACACGTGTGAAATTTTCCGTCAGCTGAGTGGCTGCTGTTTAGCTTTCTGACTGTCGTTTTAGAGGTTAGAGCGTTTTAGAGCTTAGGCAGGCTGACACCTTAATGAGGGCATTCTACACTGACTACCAATAAGTATTTGGACACCTGTGATAGAAAAGAAAAACTAACTTTATTTAAAATCAATAGTTGGTAGAGCCTCCATAATAGCCTTATTAGCACTCTCAGACACTCCCCGCGTCCCATAGAAAAACATCGCTACCCTTGTGATATCCTCCCCACATAAGATTCACAACCTTAATTGACTCATTCACGCAAAACTGACTCTGCGGTTTTACCACCCGCGGCAACATCTTATAACGACACTGAACTTGACACCCCCCCTCTTTTTTCGCCGCCGCTAGTGCGGAATTCACTCTCTTTCATCCGCTTCCCACACTTCTTTCACCCTTCTCTTTCTTCCCCCTCCCGATCTTTATCAGAAGTCGAGTAAAAAGATGTTTCTACATCTTGACACTCGAGAATAAAATACGATCTGTGTGTGTGTGAGCCTCCACGAGAGTAATTACAGCGTGGACCCTCCATGGCATACTTTCCACAAGTCTTTGTATGACAGCTAATGGTATTTTCTTCCACTCGGCTTGGAGAAGACATAGAAGTTCTTTCACCGATTTTGCACGGGCAGTGCACCCCTGAATTCGGCGATGCAACTCGTCCAGAGGTTCTCGATAGGGTTCAGGTCTGGACTCGACAGGCCAGCCATTCGATGAACTCCATTGGCCCCATACCAAGCTTGGTTAACGTCGGAAACATGACAACTGGCATTGTTGTCCTGAAAGTAACAGGGGTCCAACCCGTAAAACTGCCACAACGTAGGACCATGTCATCCAAATAGTGCAGTAGGCCATCGGAGTTGAGCTTACCATGAAGGGACACCAAGGGTCCCAGCCCATACCAGGAAAACACCCCCAGACCATAAATCCACCTACGCCGACTGACTGTTGGCACAAGCATTCTGGCAGGAGACGTTCTCCAGGTAGACGCCAGACCCAGACCCTGCCATCAGAACGGTAAAGGGTGAACCTTGATTCGTCACTCCAAAGACCCGTTTCCACTGATTGTACGGTCCAATTTCGATGGCTTTGCACCACATTAACCGAGCAGCGCGGTTGACTTTTGTAATCAAAGGCTATGGGCAGTAGCACGACCATGAAAACCAAGCAGATATGCTTCCTTAAGATGGTATTCATTGAACAATACTCCGGATGCCTTTGAAATCCTCGCGGATGAGGGCCATCGGTGGGTGCGGTTCTTCCGAATTTCTCTGGACAGCACTCTCGGTCTCTATCTCCCAGTTTCGTTAGTTGCGACTAGGGGCACATTCCGACAATCACCCCTCACTTCCACTTCTTATCTCAGGCCACTGTCGATTTTGGGCACTTCAGACGTTAGATATGTCCCTTAAGGATCGGCCAATTTGTGATACCCGATAATTTACTTTCTCGAAATCAGAAGCTCCGAACTGTGAGGCATCTTGATGCGACTAAGGCCGATGCTGTTTCCTACACTATATATACCGGCGGAGACCGTGACGTACCTTAGGACCGCAGATATCGTCATTTGCATAGGTGTCCAAATACTTATTGGTAGTCAGTGTATGTATATGAAAGTTATACTGAACTTTCAGTCTGATTCAGCTAAATATTCGGCCTATGTCTCCTGTTATATTTGCAGAACCTACAATTTACGGCCTAAAATTCAACTCCCATCGTGATATAAGACCTGTCACAAAAAGCTCACTCTCCATTTGCACTTGGAATGCAAATGGTATCTATAATAAGATCCATGAAATGAGAGATTTCATTGCAAAGCAAGATCTTGATGTACTGTTGGTCCAAGAGACCCATTTTATCCCAGGGCAAATTCCTAGAATTGGGAACTATGACATATACTCGACTGACAGGATGTCATATGGCCGACATGCAAGTGATGGCACCTGTATCTATGTGAAACATTCGATTAAACGTCACATGATAACCCCCCCCAAATTTGAAATATGTGGAAGCGACTATTATCAAAATTTTCATACAAAATTCTTCCCCCCTTACAATTGTTTCGGCATACCTTCCCCCAAAAGGAGCTACTCGTGGGAGGTATGTTTTTCCTATCAGTGATTTTGATAAACTTCTCACAATCTCAAATCACCTAATCATTGCTGGTGATCTAAATTCACGCCATGCCGCTTGGTTCTGTCCTAATAGGAACAGATTTGGCATTAGTCTAAATTCATGGGCTCGGAGCTCCCATGTACAGATCATAGCTCCTACTGTCCCGACTTACTACCCTGTAAAAGGGTCCCCCGCAGTTATTGATCTGGCTGCTTTTTATAATGTTTATTTTCGGCATGGAATTAAAAGTGCTTCAAGAGTTAGGTTCTGATCACTTCCCTGTTTTGATTACCCTAAATATTCAAAATCGTGGTGTATGTATTGGGGTAAATGGGTGGTGTATTGTATTGAGAATATGGCAAAGCACACTAGGGCTATCTGCCTAAAGAGAGGAGCGCCTTCGTGGAGGACTTTCTAAGGGAAACTGGCTCGTATACACGTTACACATGGAAAAAACCACGAAAACGCCCATGCAGCCAGCCCATTCGCGGAATTCGCACCTCGGACCGACTACCAGTGTTCAGCGTTTATCGCTCGGCGCTGGTGGGCCGTCTATAGATGGGAAAAGAGTTGTTTTTGGTAGATGATCTTGGGGACCAAACAATTTAGGTAGAATATGTTACCTTGGATTCAAATAAGAAAATATATCATATTTTAACACTTAAAATTTTAATAGTAATAAGCCCCATTAGTTTAAAATGTAAAAAAAAACATGAACACACAATAATTCACAATAAATCCTAATGTCTGATTGTTTATTACTTTAAGTACTTTAAAATTATTTATCTTATCAACCTTATTTTGTATGAACTTTCAAAATAACTGTGTTAATACCGTAAATACATTTTACATTTAATACAGAATATCTTGTTCTGATGTGTGCATGAATTCTATTTAGAGCATTTTGTATCCATGAGTCTTGGTAGTGATTTACCCATTCCGTTTTTTACTGGTGAGAATTACTTTCTCTGATTTTTTAGGGATCTTCCTACGACTGAAGGGAGCTCGCCTTTATATTAGTATAAATTCCTCATATCTGAGCAAGCTGAAACTTAGAATGAGATATTCCATGAGGAATTAGACACCGTAGATGTTCGCTTTAATAGCGTACATGCATCGCCAACTTTTGATATCATCCACCAAAATGGGAGGAGATTCAATGGCCATATTTGTCCTCTCAGAACACGAGGTACGCGCGAGTAACGCGTGCTACAAAAATATAGATAACCTTCCTAGAAAAATAGCAATCATGAGATAGGCATTTAACATTAAGAATTAGATTTAATAAGGAGAAGTAATAAAACATAATAATGGCTTAAGGAAGCGTACAGTCCCAGATAGAAGTTACATATCACGTGGAAGGCACAAGGTTGTTTAGACGCACCACACAGACTGAAGAGCTACCAGAACTGCGGGGAAAATTCTTGTCCCGTAGCCGTAGGTTGTCAACTGTTTCCCAATTGGCGCTTTTTTCCAGAGTTTTGTCTGCATGCCTGTTTGGCGCTGCCGCTACATACTCCTCCGCAGTGTCAACGAATGTGACATACGACGTGGGGTCGGATTAATCGTCCAGAACGGGTGATACCAATGTCCGAAGGTTTTTTTACACTCTTGGAACAACTTGTGAAGAGTCCATGGTTACAAAAGCGGGTTTCAATCTATCTATGGAGAGTTTGCTTAGTCCTTTTTTTATTTCGAGATCAAACGTTTTATCTCGTCTTTCTAGCACTTAAATGGTCCATCATAGGAGCTTGCAGTGGTTTCGAACTCCGTCGGTCGAACAAAACCATGTGGATTCGTGAAGCGTGGAGAATGAAATAGGTTCGCTGACCTGGCTAGAAGTCGTAGTCGGGCGACACTGGCAAAATTAGATTTTAAATCCTCCAAAACTGTTTGGGGACGTGTCCATAGGTGTAAAAATTCTCCTGGGAGACGAATCGTCTTTCCATACACAATTCAGAAGTGGTTGCTCCTATGTCTCCTTGACAGCGGGCGGAAACCCATCAGAAGGGTTGGAAGAGCGTACCCAGTTACTGGTATCATACGCTTTTAAGGGCTTTCAAAGGACGGTGGAATTCCTCGATAAGTCCAGTCGCCTGTGGATAATACGGAGACGTCCTGATTCTCTTGATTCCCAATAACTGGGAAAGGGCTCGGAATAAGCCGCTTTCAAACTGTCGCGCTTGGTCAGTAGTAATAACAGCTGGACAACCAAATCGTGTAATCCAGTGGTCATAGAAAGCTTGGGCTACTGTGCATGCAGTATGTCTGGTATTGAGTACTGCTTCGGGCCATTTAGTAAACCTATCTATTCATAGTTAAACAGTATAATTATTTTGAGAAGGGTAGCGGAAACGAGGTCAATGTGGACGTGATCAAATCTCTGTGATTGGTCTGGAAACTTCATTAACGGGGTTCTAGTATGTTGCTTACTTTTGCTTTCTGACATGGAATGCACTGCCGTGCCCATTGTGCGCAATTTTTACGGATGGAAGACAAACAAATCGAGA